TGCTCGTGGGTGATTTTGTCCACCTTTGTTTTGAAGGTAACGTGACAGTATTTGCACTGATACTCATAGTTTTCGTCGTGGATTCTGCTGTGAGTAATCAAGGCTTTCTCGCTAACACATCTCTTGCCACAGATGTTGCAAGGATACGGTTTGATCTTGTGCTCACATGCGTGAGCCCTCTGTTTGTTGTAAAACACCCCGCACTCTGTGCAGAGCCGGCTGTGTTTGACCGGAAGTGGAGGATAATCACCATATTCTTCCTCATCCTCGATGTCATCCTCATCCTCGTCGTCATAGTCTTCTTCGTCATCTTCGGTTTGCTCTCCGGGTTTCGTTATTAGCGCTCTTGAATGAGAAGAGCCATTGACAGGCTTCCAATCCGCGTCTGAGTCCAAGTCCCCCTGATCACTTGATTGATCGACTGGCTCAATAACAGCAGCAGCCTGATGGGCCCCTGTGACTCCGGATGGCACAGCCTGTGACATGATGACAGGGTCAGTAACATGTTAAGCACATACAGGAGACTGTCTTGGCTATCACGGCTAAAACACGAGGAAGGTGTTAACAGAGGTTGTATTATGATGTGTGATTCAAGTCAAAACTGTTTACCGTAAATTCCGGACTATAGAGCGCACCTTATATTACAGGCGGCACCTGCTGATTTTTAAAAGAAACTAGAAAATGCGTTGGAATGCTAAAAGCTGAAATGAATTTCAGAAAATTGCTGAAAATACAGAAATAATAAGCTAAAATGAATATCAAAAACGGCTGAAAATACAGAAATCGTAAAATGTACCAGCTAGCTGAAAAACTGAAATGATTTAAAAAAATGCTCATGATATAGAAATGACAAAGTACCAGCAAGCTCAAAGATGAAATTAAGTCAAATTGCTGAAAATATTGAAATTTCCAATTCCAATTTGCTGAGTGTTAATGCCAAATGGTCAAGACCAGCACAGCAGGAAAACATAATATTTGAAAATTGGCAGTGTGGGGGATGAACAGCAGCATTTAACAAAGCTAAAAGCTCAAATATAAAACAAAAGAAGCCGAAAGCTGCACTGTTAAACTGTAGAAGTACTTGAAGAAGTGAAACTGAACTAAAATCTAGCATCAGAATCTGCAGAAATAGCATTCAGGAGTAATATTAGCAGTATTAGTATCAAGGGCTGCAGTAGCAGCAGTCGTAGTAGCAGCATTTGTGTATCCATAGTAACTGTAGCAGCAGCAGGTGTAGTCGTAAAAATCAGTAGATCTCTTAGTGTTGTATTGAGTATAAAGCAGACAGTGACTTCATTACAAACATTTTATTTGTTTACATTTAGAATACAATTTTGTGAATCAACAATATCAAAATAATTAAAACAGTAATTAGTATTAGAATGTAAAGGCTAACATACAGAACAGCCTAATATATTGCTCATGCAAAAGTATAAATCACTCGATTTTATTGAAGAAAAACAAAAGCAATTATAAAAATGTCAATAAAGATTCTCTGTACACGTGAAATGAAAACTGGCAAAGTAAAAATGGTTTTCTCTTTGTATATTTAATTGCTCAAGTTAGGATGATTTATTAACCTGAAATAAGTTAAATTAACAATTAAATTGATTCATCATAATTGAAGTGCTCTCAAGTGAATTAAAAACAGAGAATTGGAAATAAAGAAAAAGGAAACGCTTTCTGGAGAAACCGTTTTTTTCCACAAAGATCCCACAAGATGAACCCATAGTGCCTATAAGAAAAACGTTTTAAATAGATGCACAGACCAGGATGAACATTATTTTGTCACTACCAGTAGTTTGAGGTGTGTGCTATATTTCAAAAGATACATTTACATCCTGTCTTTACATCCTTTTTTGACTTATAATCTTCTATCGAAATATGATAAAATAATATGGATAAGTACAGTGCACAAGTACTGTTGTATTGTTTATAATGTATAAACAATACAAGTTTATAATGTATAAACAATACAAGATAAAATCTTAGCGTGAGAAATTTATCAACACAGTTTTGTGAACATTGGTCCCTTTGTTTGATATCCATGAATACATTTACTATAGTTTCAATAGTTAACAATATGGTTCTGAACAACAGTTCAGTTGGTGCTGCAGTCTTTGGCATGTCTTAGATTCTGTGAGATGATCCTCACAGTGCAGAAGGAGGTGAGGCCAAGACTGGAAGGTGTCTTTACAGAGGACACATGAGGACTGTGTCTCCTGTCCATTACAAAGGAAACGTAACACTACAGAGAAGATAGGATGATTCAAATTAAATTAATGGGGATGGGGGAAGTGTGGGGTTTTGCACAGCATCTTAGATGCTTCTGAGTAGATGCATTTAATGAGATGTGACTTTCCTGTTCCAGCACCATCATTGATGTAAAAGAAAAACTGCTCAGGATTTAGGCCACAGACACGCTTTACGCCCCAGTCTCTGACTGCGTAGAAGACACATGCTTGTTTCTGGTTCAGGTTCTGATACATCTGCCGTAGCTGTGTGGGGTCAAAGGCCGGAGGCTCTCTGATGGCTCTGGCTTCTGTTGCAGCATTAGTGTATTCTGGAACATTTTCTTGAACATTTTCATGATCTGGCTCTCTTGCCTCCAGTTCTTCAATACCTTCCAATCTTTCCACTTCAGATTCTGGAGCCAGATTGCACCATTCATCAATCACTCCTCTGTTCTGTTCAAATTCTTCCACTGCATTCTCAATGTGCTCGCTGTTTTTCTCATATTTGTCTTTGTTTCGTTTCACAATGTGATGGACATACTCAGGGTGGTCAGAACCTGGTAGCTGGACACAACAACTCTTGTAGAAGGACTCGTACGTGGGGAAATGCCGTCTTTTCAGTTCCAGGTCTGATCGGTGAGGAATGTACAGTTTCAGTAATGTGCCATAGAACTTCTCTGGATATTTTTCATGTGAGAGGCGGTAAAATCTGATGATAGCAGGGTTATCGTTTTTAGGCTTTTGCTCAAATCCCATGTCATTGAGGAGGGGCAACACATCTTTTCCTTTTTTCTGCTGGCCGTAGACAATTCTGCAAGTACAGTATGTTGTCAGATGGATCACTGAGAACAGGGTTTATCACTTGAACAGTTGATGCTCCTCACAATGAACCAGGATCATGTGATGATGTTGTGATGAGGACCTCTGGTTGTTTTACAGCTGGAGTGTGAGGAGTCATTTCAGGTGAACTGGTCTGATTAGTGGCTGTAGGTGAGTGTGGAGTCCCCCAAGGTTCGATCTTAGGACCGACTTTATTCAACATCTACATGCTCCCACTAGGACAAATCATGCAAAAAAATAAAATTGACCACTATTGCTACGCTGATGACACCCAAATCTATGTATCTATCACCAAACGACTATCGCCCCATAGATCTTCTGTGCCAGTGCAAGTGAGCAAATCAAAGACTGGATGTGTCAAAATTTCCTACAACTAAATGAAGACAAAACTGAGATCATTGTATTTGGTGCAAAAAAGAAAGGTTTAAAGTAACCCAACACCTTCACTCTTTGTCCCTGAAAACATCAAATAAAGCCAGAAAACTGGGGGTTATTATGGATTCAGATTTACACATGGAGAGTCACATCAAATCAGTAACAAAATCACTGTCAGTGAGACGTGAGAATGTCACCATGACAGGAGTACCTGGTGTGCGTGAACCGGCTGGTAGGGGCAAACCTCTGGCTGCTCTGGAGTGTGGGTCAAAGAAACCTGCCCGACTTGGTTCTGAACACTGCGATACACAAGAGTCTCAACAGCAGAGCGTACTTCACATCTGACAACAAGCAGCTGAGTCCTGACTCCAGGTCCAGAAAGCTGTCCGCAGCTCCAGGTAAAGGTTCTCCTAATGTGCCGTACCTTGAAAGCTGAGTAATGTCTGCACAGTGCGTAGCGCTGCGTGCAGGAACTTCATCAGTGAGCTCATCGGTGGTCAGATAGATGTGATTAGTGACTTGTTTCCTGGTCTCTCTATACATCGTGTTACCTTTAGCCAAAACATGGTCCAGGTCTGCTCTGGTGATGCAAGAAAGGTCAGTGAGTTACAGATGGAAGCCTGGCTGCGGGATGCACGGACATGTTGTTCAGAAGGCTGATCTCCAGGGTCTACACGGCCTGCATTAGAAGGTCCTGCTGCACTTGGGTTTTTCACTGGGTTGTCCTCTCTTTATAGTTGCTGATACCTGTGGTACGCATGACTCATCACTTTGAGCTCTTAGGTTTACCTGCTTGAGATTAGAAGGTCCTGCTGTACATGGATCCTCACTGTGACGTCCTCTCTTTACTGCGTCTGCATATGATAACTGTGGTACACGTGACTCACTTGGAACTCCCCGTTTCACACCAGCATGAGACTCTGCAGACATCTTTACCTCTGCACTGCTCTCAGGACCAACACGTTCTGCTCCTTCAGTCCTCGTTGCACAGGGATTGTTATTGGTCCTCTCCTAGCACTGGCTCTGAGCTGGTGACCTCTTACTCGTTCTTGGAATTGTTGTTTCTCAAAACCACAAATGTTATTGTTTTACTTGTATTGTACACAACAAAGATCCATCCATCCATCCATCGTCAAACCGCTTATCCTGCACACAGGGTCACGGGGGGGCTGGAGTCCATCCCAGCCAACTTCGGGCGATAGACAGGGTACATCCTGGATTGGTCGCCAGCCAATTGCAGGGCTACACAGAGACACACAACCATTCACACTCACATTCACACACCTACGGGCAATTTAGAGTCCCCAATCACCCTGATCCCCAGAGCATGTCTTTGGACTGTGGGAGGAAGCCGGAGAACCCGGAGAGAACCCACGCAGACACGGGGAGAACATGCAGACTCCAGAAAGGCCACTGGGCGGAATCGAACCCAGGACCTTCTTGCTGTGAGGCAACACAGCAAGCAATCACGCCACCGTGCCGCCCCACAACAAAGATATTAAACACAATATTAATAGTGAAATTAACTATTAACAAAGCAGGATGTGAAAATAGATGAAACCTTTGTCTGCTTTTATTGATCAAGAACACCAAGAGAACAACTTATAATACTAGAGTTTGTATTAAATCAGGAAGCGTTGTTGTGGCAACTTGATGATGGATGAAAGATTCTGAACAACGTCTCAACTCAACTCCCAATGAATCCACTTCCTCCTTATAGATGGCTTTTTTTTATTTCAGTATGAACAAAGTGAAACAACTAAAATACACAAATACACTGAATGATTGAAATAATGTACGTTTATACAGGAAATTATTTCCAGAGTTCTAGGGTACTGCTACCAAAACAAAGTTTGGGTACAAACCAGCAGAGCTCCAAAGCCGCAATAATCAGGAAATTAACTATTCATTTTATAATAGACTTTTACTACAATTGCTTTTATGTAAAGTAACAAGGGAGCAACTTTCTTGAATTATGTTGATGTAATGATTTACTATAAGAAATTATATATTTGAAAATGTACCATTCAATTCTTAATGATAAAAGTTGTACCCTTTATCAATTACGACAAAATATGTATATGTTTAACCAATTGTGTTGGTCTCAGAAATAGTATAAATGCTTTTTCCAAGTTGTAAAAACAGCAATAGTGTTGGGTGTGAGAGAAGAGAGTCTCTCAGAGTATTCAAATCAGATAGATCAGGTACCGGTAACCCAAGTCAAGCCAACAGACAGGTCCTTGTGACCGTAGCTTAGTCCAAAATTCAGTTCAGAAAAAGGTCTCCAGAGTTTGTTCCATTTCATTGCCAAAGATTACCAACATGAGAGTGGGATAGAGGGGGACACAAAGTGTGAGTTGCCAAATGCAAAAGACAGAGCGGTAGATGTGACAGGAGAGATGGAGAGCCAACGTGATAGAGGAGAGATGCTGCACAGCAGGACACCTGGAAGACGCAATACAAACACACTTTAGACAGCAGTTTGAAGATCAATTTAAGGAACGTCTAAAACTAAAAGTGCAGATAAATCAGGTGCAGTTCGGAGTGTTTCATAACAACTTCACTATCTGTTTTAACAAAGTGTATTCAGTTTTCACTCATGTGTGAACTTACTGTGAAGTCACCAGCAGTGATGGTCTGTAGTTAAAGACAGTGAGGAAACAGGAAGAGTCGGGAGAGAAATACTACCAATATTACATTTACATTCTTCTCAGAAAATCAGTGTATCACATCCCATTTCACTCCAGAACTGTTCTTACGGTCGGGTGATTATTGTTACCTCTTATCTGTATCTGTACAGATTATTATGATGGGAGGACATTTAAAACTGTAAACCAATGTAATATCAGTTTACTTGTAGCATAAACATTAACAATGTGTGTGAACTTACACGTCAGAGTCAGCCTGCAGGAGAGGAAGCCGATCGATGAACACATGAACAATTTTGTTCATGTTTTGTTAATTGTTTCGAACTTTAAAATGCTCGTTCTCTGAATGGAGCCTGGATGGAGCAGTGCTAGCCTAAGCTAACGTTGTAGCAGCTCCACCAACACTCTAAAATAAGTCATAAGGCGTCATTATAATTTACACCATAGTGGCTCGTACACAGTTTAATTCGTTCTGTACAAACATGTCTCATAGAGCTCTATGTGAACAAAGAAGCTACAATATAGTAAGGACAGGAAGAGCCTACAAACGCGTCATGTTGTATGTTACGCTTTTACAATAGCGCAAGAAATTCGCGCCACGTTGGGTGTGAACATGACGTCAACGGTCAACTAACACTAGCATATCGGCTAGCACTGACTTTAGCCACGTTAACTGATAAAGTAACGTTAGCTAGCTAACCGGGTACTTAGTTAACGTTAACTGACGCGGTAGTTAGCTAAAGACGTGGCATCTCCCCCCCCCAAACTCATATGTAACGTTAACATAACATGCTAAAGTCATAATAGCTGCTATGCTAATGTTAAACAGGCGTCAGCATATGCAATACATGGGTAATATTTCACTTTCATCCATGTAGTTATAAACTCTGAGGTACAAACTAACCTCAACAGCTTTTCAAAACGTTCTATTGTATTTATATTGTTTAAATCATTCTCCGTTAGCGGCTCACAATGACTTACCAGAGAAGACGACAGGACGAAACGGTGCGCATTCGCAGTTAGTTCAGTTGTAGTGTTCACTGAGGCGTTCAGGGGGCACTCGGAAATTCAGAAGTCGAACGCAAAAGAAAACCATGACTATTTCTGCAACAATACAATGTCACACCAAGCACAAAGTGGAATTCAGTCAGAAAGTTCAATGGATTATTAATAAAAACATCATCTGTCATCATCTAGATAATATAAATCCAGTAAATAAATCAAATAAATAAATGAATATAGACAGGTGAGCTGAAAAGTGTAAAAACCACTAGTCTGAGACGTTGTTTACAGCTTCAATTAAAAAGATGTTATACCAAATGGAGTGATGATTAACGATTGTTGTGTTAATGTGAGAGCAGTTAAAACAGATGTGAACACTTAAGTAAAGTGGGAGAAACGAATGTGGGAGGAGGGTTAATATCGCTCAATAAAGTATAGTTTTTCTTATGTTTGTCACACCTGTATGTCAAGTTGGGTTTTTGTCCTGTCGCCATGTTGTTTTTTGTGACTTCCTGTTTTATTTTGGAAATGAACTCTTCTCTCGTTTCAGGTTCCTTGTCCTTCCTCACGTGTCACCAGTCTGATTGTCTTCCCTGATTCCTGATTGTGTCCACCTGTTCCCACACCTCCCTCATGTGTACTTATAGTCTGCGTCTTCCCTTGTCCTCTGCCAGTGTGTCATGTCCTTTGCCTTGTACACCCGCCTCAGGAACAGAATCAAGCCCAGGTCACAGTATCTGTTTGTATGTAGCCACCTTGTGGTATCCTTAGGTGCCGTTTAGAGCCCTTTTTTGGATTATAAATATAAAAATAAATAAATAAATAAAGGGATTAGCTGAACTTTTTACTCTGCGTTCGAGAATTAGAAAACGGCAAGTCACCTCTCGCAAATTGTATCAGATTGAACAAATACTAGCGTTATCAGCCATTGTTTGCGGAGAGGATGTGCGCCTCGCGGTGAGATCAAAAGGCTTTCGTGAGCCTCACACCATCGCTGACATTTTAGATTTTCATTGAACCTACGAGGAGATAAGAGAAAGGTAAGCGTTTTTCCTCTCAAATGATAATGATGATAATTGGAATACTTTTAAGAGGGTTTTTCCTTTCAAATGTGATAATTTGAACACTATTACGAATACCTCAAATGAATTAAGTCCATATAATATATTCATTACAAAAAACATGAAATTGCTAACAATGAACTTTAATGTTATCTTATTTCCAATTAGCGGTCATCACTTTCCTGTTTCAAGGCACTCTTAATAGGAAATATATAGTTTAGAACACTTACGCTAAAGATAATAAGAGAAGCGTAATTTTTTTTAAAGCTGGCTTATTCTTTAATTTATCCTTACTTCGTTTATTTTAGTATTTCAGAATGGCGTTACATGCTCTCCTCTGGACGAAGCCCCCCGCCCCTCATTTCCGACCCTCACCGATCCACCCGTGTGTCGTGGGGGTGGTGCAGCACAGCAAGGTGGTGGCCTGGAACTCTGATTCCACTGGCGCAAGACCAGTTACGACAAAAAAAATATATATTCTGGCCGCAGTTACAGATCTGTTGCAAAACTGGCTTCCTATGAAGAGTTCGGGGGTAAATTTAAAGAGGGTGGGGATTATGTTATAAAGGGTCATTCCCTGAGAGGGCACTCTCCACCCTACACCATAGTTATTAACAAGGACACTATGTTCTTCAGAAGTGCTCCAATAAGTTTAACCAAGGAATTAAAAGAGCAGGCGGAGGCCCTCATCCGTCCCCTCTCTGCACTGACGCCCCCCCAGCACCTGCAGGAACACCAAGGGGTCCTGACCGTGGAGGGGGAGGTGATCCAAGTAAGTGAGGTTTACTTTACATCAAATTGTAGGAATTTGTGAATAATGGTATAAAATGTGAATTAACCCACAAATCCATCTTCTCCAGCTGTCCACAATCAAACAGATCTCCAAGCAAAGGGAGGTCTTTCCGCTGCGCAACGTTACACTGCAGAAGGTAAGCGATACAAAGAGAGAGAGACACAGAGAGAGACACATAGAGACGGAGACAGACATAGACACATAGAGAGAGCGATAGTGACAGACCGAGGGAGAGACAGACAGAGACAAAGCGACTCACACAGTGACAGAGAAACTGAATTGAAATCCTGTGTGACTTCACAGGGGGGAAACCCGGGTGCCGTTGTGTTTGGAGGGAAGCGGCAGTTAAGGTGAAGCTTGAGATTGGGACACACATCAAAGTGTCCCATCTGAAAGCCTCCACCTCAAACTATGGATTCCAACTCCAATCCACAACACATTCAACGGTGGAGGTAGGCTTACTTGGTTGTTGCTGTCGTATATATCTTATCCATATTTTAAATGATCCAAAAGGTCATTTTTTGACACATTTCTATAAGATCACAAGTACACAAAGTCTGCTGGAGTGATGTCGTAAATGTATTCTATGTAAACTGTTTTAAGTGGCAATAAAAAGCAAATATGGTCAATGGGGCAAATTTAAAATGAATAAGCAAAGCCTACAGTGGATTAAAAAGGAGTACAATTGATATTTAGGTCATTGGTGCGGGAAGAATAATCCTGTATGTGTTTCTCTTGACTGACACGGTGGGTGTGCTCGGCCCCCTGAATATGCTCCTGGACAACGGCCACATGGTGCTTATTGTGGAGGTCCTGTGGTAGACTGAGGATCACCTGGTTGACCCTCCACTTCAAGTCCAGATTACAATGAGTGGAAACAGTTTCCACCATAAAGATCGGTTCATGAATATTTTACCGTTCCAGGAGGTTCTGTTCATAATGTCTTAGTTATTTAGTCAGTTTTTTTATTGTATTGGTGTTCCCCTTTGTATTTACCGGTAATTGTTTACATTTCTATGAATTGTTCTTTCTACCATTAAATTTATAATCTTAATCAACATTTGCATTTGTTTATTTGAACAGGCATTCATATTACATTTTTATACAATCACATCTTCAAAATACTGGGGAGGGAGAAGGACATTTTTAAGGGGGCTGGGGGATGGAGAAGGCATCTCTTGGGGGGGCAGAGTTGAGGAGGGGGAGGTGGGGAGGACGTAAATGACAAAAGCTGAGCTGAATGAAGACGTTTTAAAAAGTTGTATTAGTAGTACTAGCAGTAGAAGTAGTAATAGTAGGTTTAGTATCAATAGCAGTAGAAACAGCTGTAATACTATTAGCCATAGTAGTATCTGTAATAGCGTTAGTAGTTATAGTATCAATAACAGTAGAAATACTAGTAGTACTTTTTATTATAGTAGTAATAGTACGCAGTTGCACTACTCACTACTAGTGGTAGTAATAGTATTTTTAGTACTACTAGTAAGCGTAATTTAGCATCAATACCTGTTGAAACACTAGTTATGGTAGTAAAAATATTAGTTGTAGTACTACTAGAGGTCCTAGTAATATTCGTAGTGGTTGTAGTATTTGAAAGAGGCAATAAGTCAGTGCATTCCAACAAAAATAAATTGTACATCAATAAGCCGCAGGTGTCCCCGTTGAAACCTGAGATGTGAACGCGGCAAGATGTTACAGGAAAGATTTTTGTAAAGCTTTTAAATAAATGCCGGTAACATCCACAACTACATACCGCAACACTTTTCCCAGAACACTGCTTTTAACAGTACTAAAGTGGTCTTCTTCAGTTTAGGCCAGAAGGTATGGGATTACTTTTTCTCGGCGAAAACATAGGAACCCCCCAGCAGAAGTCACTGATCACTATCGCCATCGTCCTCCTGCGCACTGAAACCATTGAAGTCCTCTTCTTCGGTGTCGGAATTAAACAGCCTCAGAAGTGCTTCGTTGCACTCAGTCCCTCTTTTGTTTGTGCTCTCAGTGTCACTTTCCTCCCGAGGCGAATCCGCTCTTGAGCTTTCGCCGCCGCCGCCGTCCTCCTCCTCCTCCTCCTCATCGCGCAGCAGTCCAGCCTTTTGGAACGCGTCAGTGATGGTGGATTCTTTGACATTGCTCCACGCTGTTAGGATCCACTGGCACACTTGAGAAAAAGTTGCTCTCCGCATGCGGCCAGTTTCGGCGAAGGATTTCTTGCTGCTCGTCATCCAAGCCTCCCATTGAACTCGCAGCGCCAGCTTAAATGCACGATTCACACTGATGTCGAGGGGCTGCAAATACTTCCTTGTGCCCTCGGGAATCACAGCTGGAATCGTGTTTGTCATCTTGATGGCTGCTTTCACAGAATCTGTCATATGGGCCCTCGTGCTGTCCAAAACAAGCAGTGCCCTTTTTCTGTGGCGGAATCCCCCCGGTCGCTTCCCGTAGCATTCATTCAGCCATTTCTTCATTAGCCGTTCTATCATCCACCCTTTCTTGTTGACTTTCACGGCGATTCCTTTCGGGAATTTTTCTTTTGGCATCGTCACCCGCTTAAAAATCACCATGGGTGGAAGCTTTAGTCCGGACGCCGTGCAGCTCAGAACACAAGTGAAATGCGTTCGCTCATGGCCAGTTGTTTTCAGCGTGACGGACGATTCACCTTTTTGGAGAACAGTCCGAGTGAGAGGCAGGTTAAACGTCAAAGGTACTTCATCCATATTTATGACGTCGTCCGGCCCGATGGAGTTCTCGGCTATGTTTCTGTGAGTGAATTCGCTGAAGTTTGCAATTTTGTCCTTCAAGTCGGGAGGGAGTTGCTGACGCGGAGTCGTCCGTTCCCTAACGAACAGGCCTTTTCGCTGCATGAATCTGAAACACCAAGATGGTCCACCTCGAAAATGTTCAATATTCTTTTCGGTGGCGATCGTTTTGGCTTTCAGTCGGATCTGCACGGTGGAGACACTTCGGCCGCGTGCTCTCTGTGTGTTCACCCAGTCTTCAAGGACGTTTTCAAGTTCGGGCCATCTGCTTTTGTTGCCTCTGAAGGCTTTTGTCCTCTTTTTGCAACGAGTCAGTTCTTCGCGCTGCCCTCGCCAGCGCCTCACCATCGATTCGTTGACGCCGAGCGTTTGTGCAGCAGCTCTATTTCCTTCTTTGATAGCCAGACGGATCGCTTTTAACTTGAAAGCCGCATCGTATGCATTTCTTCGCGCCTTTTCCATGACGACGGTGCGTGCACGAAGCGCAAAACCGGAGATCTGAAGAATTAAGTGTGAGTTAGTTTGCCGAAACAGTTTCATTGGTCCACTGTGACCTGTTCGGTAATTTCATTGGTCTGATATGACGAGGTTAAATGTCTTGGTGGCAGGAAGCTAGTTAGCCTATGAAAAATCCACCAATTAGCCGCACCGCCGTAAAAGCCGCGGTCTCAAAGCGTGTGACAAAAAGGAGCGGCTTATATGCCGGAATTTATATGGCAGAGACAATACCTAAAAATGGTTGTTTGTGTATTCGTTTTTTGTTAGATATACTTTGTCGTACCTGTCGGGTCGCTGGAGTTGCTTCTACTTCTGGCAGCTGTTGTTCTTCAGCTGCTGGGACGCTGACGTTAACTTGGCTTCTCCACTGGCTCCTGTAATCACACTGAAGGCACCGCTGGTTGAAGACGACGAGCAGCCCGGAGGTAACCTTCTCCATCTT